ACGTGAGTCTACAAGTAGGGAGTGTCGGGCCGTCGTGTACAGCTCCGCACACTGAGTTAACTTATAAGGACAGAAAACGCATACCGTATGATAAACAATTCGTAGAGGCAAAATAAGGACAATACCGTGACGGGCATGGGTAGCAGCCCTGCGTATTAACCAGAAAAGACAAACGTCAAACTCACCGCGTGCTAGAAGAGAGGAGGAATTAAAGATAGGAAGCGATCATTGAAAGGGTAGTATCAGGAACTTTTAAGAAGACTAAGTAAAAGTGCTTACCAAAAATCCTCAAAGTGCACATTCAACAGCACATTCTGGTCCATAACGTACTGGTTCATCCATATCTCCGCTTTGTAAGACCTCGTGGAGCACTTCCGTGTTTGTTGCTTCTCATGCATTATATTGACCATGTGGGAAAAGTGGCAAGGCCCTAAAAACATCGCTCCTTCGCCTGCACATAATCATCGGTGAAACCAAGCCTGATTCTGTTGCACGCGCAAGAAAATGCTCTAACGAGCGCTGACAAATCACTTGACGACAAAGCTCATCTTCAACACTCTCTATACCATCAGCAATACCGCCGATGCCGCTGCAAGCACCAACACCATCATAAATGCATCTCAGACTGCAGAAATAAAAGCTTAGGCAGATGGGCATTGGCGAGGAAGACAGGGGAGACTGGAATAGTTATTTTTGGCTCATTAGCCCTCACAAACCATCCATAGGCATCTGAAGGGTGCGCATCACCCGCGGATCGAACACTCGACCAGTTGATTATAAATTCAACGTTCTAATCGGTGAGAAACGGGCTCTTTGTTTTGCCGGTCGAGATCGGAAATATTTGAATTGGCCGACGAATGCTCAATGATTAAAGTGAAGGCACCATGGGCGGATGAGTGTGTCATCTATCTGATCGGTGTTGCCTATCTGCCACTATATCTGCATATGTATATGAATACAGTACCCCGCGAACAATTATTCGGATTCGCAGACCTCCTTTTGGGCAACAATGGTTTGGTGCCACTGATTGTCAGTCTGGAAAGTGAGTACTCCCTAGGTGTTAGGCACAGTCAGTCCGAAATGTGATAACCAGTAGATCCGAAGGCTACGGTTCAAATCCCGACCAGGATTGCTGCCCTCTTTGTACATGAGTGTAGGCCACGCCGAATTTATCAGTTTTTGAGTTAATAAATAATGCAATTAGTACTTGGCCTTATCACGGCTGTCTGATCTAGCCGGCCTCGACGATGCCACAAAGTGCACCTCCCCACGCGTGGGGATCCGCGGCGACAGATTAACAAAGTTGAGTCCATTTTCTTCGCCAACGACGAAGGCCGAATACCGAAGGTCCAAGAATAACTTTCATGTTCTAAGGAACTGTTTCGAGCGAGTTATTCCGCTGAGCCCCTCTTCAACACCACCAGTTGGGTGACGATGCTGTATCGAAGGGATTAACACCGAACTCATTAGGTAGACGAGGAAGAACGTGCCCAAACCACTTCAGTGGTTTTTCTCTGATGGCTTGGGATATCCTTGCAATGCCGCCGTAGTGGGTACTGACGGTTTTAGTTGAGACGAGGTTGGTGTACTCACTTGAAGAATGTCCTCAAGCGGTGGCAGTCAACTATATCCGGAGTTCGTTCATCTTCCATGCGCATAGACCAGCATTCACCACTGTAGAAAAGGACAGACGGAACGGATGCACGGCACACGCTAATCTTTGTGGTGATAGATATGTTGCGTCGGGTCTATAAACACCTTCTTAGGCTTGAGAAAACTTGAAGGGCAGCATCGACTCACGAGACAGTCGTTTTTACTCTTTCCATTCGTTAGCAACCCCGTCCCTACGCATTCAAGACCGGCTATTTCTTAAAGTTTACAGTTATGAGTCTAAAGAAGTGGCTGCTCCTGAGGAGGGATGTAGCTTGAAAACAATTCGGTGTTCCCAGCGTTCAGGGACAAAATAAACAATTAAGTGACCTCTTTCACTCGTGGCAACATAGACTGCAGGCCACCAAAGCCAAGGCAATGGAAACGGCGTAGTACAAAGAAAAAAGATGTCTTACTTGTCGTCTTTATATTCTCGCCCAGTTTAACTTTCAGATTCCAGAGATTGAGACCTACAGGGACGGGTGCCTGAAACTGCAGTCCAGGTGCGAGGATAAGGTAGTCGTAACTGACTTCTGATTGGCCATTAACAGTAATTACCTTTCGGGACCTGTAAAGAATAAGGGGACTGATAA